CGTTTTCTTTTTTTTACAGATGTCTTCAAACTATCCAGCAAACAAATTACTAACAAAAGGAAAACTAATAATGTTTGAGTCATTGTGTTTTTATTTCGCTGTCGTCTCAGATGTCTATGAAGCAGACCGCAGGAGGTGCAGGAGCAGCGGCAGCAGTGTGTCTCGTATGTAAAGAGAGCTGCTCTGGATTTCAGCCACATTCTTGGAGGTAATTATTCCTCTCTCCCTGAAAAATGAAACAATATGAAAAAAAAAAGTTCTGGACGCAGTCCCAGTGGTTCCTCTCGTCCTCCCTTGACTGAAACACGCCCGTGGTTCTGTTTATTTGAGCCACAATAAACAAATTTGATTCTTCACAATTACCAACAAGCAGGTCATTGATCGTGATTTTGGTTTTCTTTCATACCTCAGTAACTTCTTTTCTCTCATAACTCCCATTCACCTCCACCTCTCTGCTGTACAGGAAGGCCTGCATGGCCTGCGGCTGCAGCACGGTCGACCACGCCCCTGGAGGGGACCTTGAAGATGACCAGCGAATGGGACGCCTGCTCGCAGACTCACCCAGCTCCCACTTGACAGCGAAGGTCAAGGGAGGCGGCGGCCTTCGCATGTACAAGAGGAACCGTATGATCGTGACAAATCCAGTGGTGTCACGCAAAGACCCGACCTTCAGCACCACGACATACGACTGGGCACCGGCCGGCCTCAACCAGAAACTGGTGAGGATCAGCGAGAAGTACCGGAGGCTGGTTGTTGCAGTGCGATGCTTCAGTGTGTTGGTGTCTGTATACAGGTATACAGGGTATTGATATAGAGAAAAACAACAAAAAAACAAGTGCCTAAAATACCTTAAATTCAGTGTTCATGTATTAGTTAATGCAAATATAGATGTTGTCAACATTTTATTCCAATCTTAAAGGTACAGTGAGTAGAATTTTGTGATATCTAGTGTTGAAGTGTCATGTTGCAGCTGAACACCCCTCACCTCACCCTCTCCTTCCAAACATGAAGAAGAACCTGTGGCAGACTTTAATTGTCATAAAAACTCAAAAGGTGTTTAGTTTTTTCAGTCTGGACTAATGTAAAAAACATGGCGGCCTCCGTAGAGAGGGTCCCCTCGATGTAAATATAAAATATTTAAATATAAAGGAACTTTTCTGGGGTAAAGAAAACTACAATTCATACAATTTAGATGAAATGAACTAGTGAAAACATCATGAGGATTATTCTACATTTAACTTCCGCCAATAGTTCTCTTTCACCTCAATCTTACACACTGGACCTTTAAAGTTTTATCACTGAGATTTACCTCTTAACTCAACTCAAATTCATTAGTCTTCATTTAGTTGAGTTGAGCTGAGTTGGGTTTGGTTTCTGCAGTCGTCCCTCTACAGTCTGGTTTCCATTAAAAACAGGCTCATGTATGTTTCAGGTTTCACAGCCTGTAATTACCATGATGACAGTGATTACTGAGCTCTGCAGTAGCGGGAGACATTACTGTGGTTCAGCTTGTACGGACAGACCCAACTCTGACTGCTCTCACCAAATCTTCAGCTAATTCTTTGTTTCATCCAATGATTTGGTTTTCTGTTGTGAATAGTTCGTCACTATTACTCACTCTGACACACAGACGTGACACTGACAACACACAGACGTGACACTGACAACACCTGGATCCTGTGATGACGACTGAACATCTGTTTACCAGCTGAATAATGACATTAGTGAGATAACAATTAGAAATCCATGTTTTGTGGAAAAGCTCATCCAAACTGTGATATTCTGCTTTACAGAGTGAGACAGACAAAGACTTCAGAGGTGGGAGAGGACAAATGAAGAGGATCAGGGTCCATATTCTAATCTTTATTTTAAGTTTTCCTATAGAAGGTATACAGTATTTATCTTCTATATGAAGATACCTGAGGTCCAGTTGGCAGCAGGTTAAGCAGGCTGTTCCGCTTTGCACCTCCCCCTGTGGGAATGTGGTGCAGCAATATTATTTGTCACACATCACAAATAATATTGGCTCCATATGGGATCCTGAGGCGATCCCAGGCCAGATGGGATGTATAATCCTTACAGCGAGCTCTGGTTCCACCCTGGGGTCTCGTCCCAGTTGGGTGTGCCACCACAAATGGTTCCTTCCGACACGAAGGAGCAGAGTGACAGCGCGGCCGCTCTTACTTTAGTTTTTAACAAATGCTGAAAAGAAACAATAAGAGATTTTGTTTGCTGAAGAGCAAAGTGCTGGAAGGACCTCCACGTCCGACACGCTGAGACGTTTGGATCACAGCACAGTTTCTGTGCGTGGTGGAAGGTCGTTGACTGACGTGTCTTGTTAAGTCTGGGCTTACCTGAGCTAGAACTAAAACACCCCTCACCCCTCTCAGGCCATGCAATACATGGAGCGGATCCCGGAGAATCTATGTCCAGTCTCGGGGACCGATGGAGCGTTGGAGCGACGCCGGCAGCTCCTCAGTCAGCTCCCCGCCTACGACCAGGACCCCATGAAGTGTCAGAGTCTGGCCAGTGAGGAGGAGGTAGAGTGCACTGACAAGACCAAACACAACAACACACAACGTGCTACTACGACACTGGTTTTAATCAGGCCCCACACACACACACCTACATTACTGTTAACTCACATAAGATCACTTGTGCTGACCAGTTATCGAATTAATTCCGTGTTTGGAAAATAATTCACAAAATCTGAAGAATCAACTGACTCTGATCTCCAACCTCTGCATCGTCTCCCTGCAGATTTCCTCCATGCTGCTGTTTGTGAAGAACTACAAACAGGAAGTGCTGGGAGTCGGAGAGGTGGCCTTACCTGGTGAGGGCGGAGCTCTGAGGGAAGCAGCCAATCAGAGGACAGCGAAGGAAGCGAAGGATCGCAGCAACAGCGATAAGAAAGATGCTCTGGAGCAACATGACCAGGGCTCGACGAACAGCAGCGCTTCCTCTGCTACTGGTTCCACTAATGGCACCGATAGCAGCATCAAGACTGATCATGTATGTAGATACGGCGCCTGACGTCTGTATTTACGCTCTGGTCATTTTGGTTGTAAGAATAAAAACAGTTTCAAACGATGCAACTTCGCTGCCACTGTTGAAATGTATTCCTTGTGTGCTATGGCTGTCTCGCTTGAACTATTGGCTACACTGCCCCCAGAGTTTTCCTGTGGTACTTTTGTCAGTTTCGTCTTGTTTTGATTTCCATATTCTGTTCTCTCTCTCTCTCTCTCTCTCTCTCTCTCTCACTGTCATCTAGCAGTGCTCGGGTTGCCATGGCAAGGTTGCCATGGACAGTCCAGCTGTTTATGCCGAGCGTGCAGGCTACCATGGCGCCCTCTGGCATCCCACCTGCTTCGTGTGTTCAGAGTGTGGCCAGGGATTGGTGGACCTCGTCTACTTCTGGTCCAATCAGAAGCTGTTCTGTGGACGACACTACTGTCAGACGGTTTGGCCGCGATGCTCCGGATGTGATGAGGTGAGCGGACATCACAGTGAGCAACAGTGTACCAACTTAAAAAGATTCAACTTCATTTGGTGACACAATTATTATATCGTCTTGTTATAATTTGCACTTGTGCAAAAATCTTCATCTGCTGGGTTTGTACCTTATTCAGTTGATTCTCAATGTTCTATATAAATAAACGTGACTGGATTTGACTATTCATTGATATAAATACTTATCCCTCTCCCTCCCACCTCCTCTTGTCGCTCCCCCTGTTCTCCTTCCTCAGTTGATCTTCTGCCAAACTTTTCACACAACAAAAGATGGACGGACGTGGCATCGCCATCACTGCTGCTGCTGGAAGTGTGGACAAAACCTGGAAACACCCTGTCAGCACTGAGACACTCACAGCGTTCTTCACTCAGCCCTGCTCGGAAACAGAATCACAAGGGTGACTCAGATACACTGAAGCAGACAAGCTGACAGACAGGCGGTTTACTAGCTTGTTTCGTATAAAAGAAACAAGCATTGAATAAATAACAGAGAATTATAGTAGATAAAATGTCCACTTGATATATTTGTGTTTGTAATACTTTTTAGCTTTACACTTCTTCAGCTGAACCCACTGGAGTTTCAAGTGCTTCAGGACATTTTTTTCGCAGACACAAAAGTGTTTAAAGTACTTAGAGAAACAGTTTGTAGATTTATTAGCACTTGGAGTTCTCTCAGTGACGGGAGCCAGATGTGCTGTTTCAGTTACAAACAGAAGCTCAGAGGAGCGGACCTTCACGGCAGAAAACCAATGAGTCAAATAAAATGAGGCATACTGATAATGAATAATATGTATTTTATACCTGATAACAAATAAATTGCTAAGACAATTTTAACTCAATGTCCATTTGATTCCTCCAGAGCTTTCAGGCCTATCTCTCCTGCAGAGGTTTCCATATTTCTCAACACTTTTATATTATATTTATTTATATTCAAGTGTCCTTGTCATTATTATCTTTTATGGAGTCAAAAGAAAGTTCATGGAATTTTTAAACTTTGAATCATTCAATCTTTAAAATCATCATTTATTAATCATTAACATATGGAAATGACTGCTACTATGTGTGTGCAAACATTTGGCTATTTTTTTTCAACCTGGTCCTTATTTCCAGCATATGGTTTGTAGATCTACTCACCCGTAAAGGTTTGGAGTAACTTGGAGTCCTTCGGTTGCTTTTAGATCAACACGCGATCGGCGTATATCCATATTCGCAGCCGCAGATCAGCTGACGATCAGCTGTGTTTGTGTTCACGGAGTTTGCTGCTGCTAGTTTTGCGCAACATGGCAGAATATTGAACAGAGATCTACATACCATATGTTGGAAATAAGGGTTAAAAAAAAACCAAACTTCTCCTTTAAATCTCAGGTTTGGATTTGTGCAGCGTCATGTTGCACGTGTCAACATTTATTTTTAAGCAAAAATAGTACAACTGGATATTTAAATGGCTGGACAAGGCTCAACGCAACGCTTTTAACTGACGTTTGGTCGTGTGTTGTACTAACAGTACAAAATGTTCAAAAAGTTTGATGTTATTTGGGTTGAACTGCAGACTAGTTTTATCTCTCTCATATGGATCTCTGCTGCTGCTGCTGCTGCTGAACGCTGCTTTATTCAGGTTAAATTCCCTCATTGAGTTTTATATTCCAAACAAACGTTTTAATTAATGAAGAGTGAGAAGAATGTGTTGAGGGAAAGACAAGTTTCGGGACACAAAACCCCTTTAAACAAGCGAAACAGAACCGTCCTTAAACAGACGGTAGCTAAACGTTCTTTCTAGGATGTAATTAACATCAGCTTATATTTGCTTGTGTTGTTTTTTTATCCGTCCTTTACTTTTCAAAGTGATTGCTGCTAAAATGCAAACTCTTTACAAACAATGATAATATACTGTTTGGCGTGATTAGCTCAATATGTAGCATATCAACAATATTGCTTGATGCAATGCTATCGAAGATGTTTTTGGATATTGACTATGGTTGCATCTCTGTATGAAGTCTTTAGCCTAGCTTAGCACAAACATTTGACACAAGGAGAAAACTCCTCACCTCAGTCAGTTATGAAAAGTGACGTCTTTAGGGACGTATTAATTTGTCTCTAAGATAATAAAGGATTTCTGAAAATCTGCTCTGTAGGAAAATTACTTTATTTTTGTTAATAATAATGTGCAGAAATAAAGAAAAATGAGCAGATCACAATGATTTGAGCAGCCTGTGTGATATTAAACCGAATATTATCCTACCTGTGATTGAATGTTGTTTTCTCTTTACATTTTTCTGCTTGTCGTGTTTTCACAGAAGATACATTGAGAATAAAAAATGAATTCTGACCGTTCACCCTGTTTTGTGTCGTCTTCTTGAAGACTGAGGTAATGACTTTCAATATATCTGATAA